GGGGTGGGGGGTCTCCTCTTTGGCATAGTCATCGTCTTGGTTGCGTTCCAACGTGCAGAGGGGTTTCTGGCGCTGGCCTTGAGGGCTTCTCAGCTCTTGGGGGTGACTTGACTGGAGGACACGGAGGAAACCTCCGTCTTCTGGGACACCACGTCAGACTCATCCGTCATGGGTCTGCCGCACACCGTTTCCATGATGCAGGCACGGAACTGGGAAGGGAGGAGACAGGAATTTTATGACTGCCTGGGAATTGACCGCCTGAGAAGGTCTCATAATACAGAGTTAGCAGAGCATGCGGTAGTGCCAGAAACTGGAAGAGCTGGTCTTCTGTTCTCCGGGGTGAGCATGTGCGCCGGCCAGCTGTTCATCACACACTTATGCATGCTAGTAATTGGAAGACTAGCTGGCTGGTGCACATGCACACACCAAAAACTGGAAGTTCATTTTCTGGCAAGTGCATGGCACTTGGGCAGCTCCTCTTCTGGGTTGCAGCCCTGACGAGAGCGCACGGGCTCCCTTTTTTGTGCGCCGAACCTGCAAAAATGCCGGCAGCAACCCACCCCTGTGTGAACTGTTAATTGAGAAGATTCCTGCACATAGGCTTTTAGCAATAAAACATGTTAAGATGTTAAATTTAGTAGCTGGAACAATAAAGTGTACAATGGGTCAGAACAGACAGTTGTAGCTGATTGGTTGTCTGCTCATGCATGAGGCAATCTGCACTGCGATTGGTTGCCGGGGGACTAAAGGGGGAGTTTCTCTTTTTTCCCCGCCTTTTGTTTTCTTCTGTGTGCTTGGTATACTCTCTGAAGATTTACCTCAGGATGTTTTTCCTGACTCTCTTGTCGGCTGAAAGTATAAATGTGAAATATATTTATTTACATAAAATTAGATCTTCTTTTCACCGTCTCTGACTTCAATGTGGACACCTGCTGGAACAATCCCCTGACAAAGCAGTTTCATTGGGCCTTCAGGTGGAAACTGGCCTTTTTGCGCCTGGCATACTCACCTGCTTGTTCATGAAGCAGTAGATGATGGGGTTGTAGACGCAGGAGCTCTTGGAGAAGAAGGCAGGGATGGTGACCAAGCGCAGGTCGAGGCCGTGCTGGGGATTGTTCACCATGTACATGGCCAGGGCGGCGTACGGAACGTAGCAGGTGCAGAAGGATGCCACCATCACCACCACCATGCGGGAGACCTCTCGCTCAGCCTTCTGGGTGGTGGCCGACTCTTGCTGCTGAGCAGCTACCTGTGGACAACCGGTCCATAGAGTTGTGATATTTTACAGCACTGTGTTGAGGTGACTGAGTTGGTTCATGAAAGGTTTGCAAGAAAACTGCCATCACCACGGACCCACAGTTCTTTTTCTTCCCTCCACCACCGCCGCCGCCACCACCACCACCACCACCTCCTCCTCCT